ATAATTGTGTTACAAACTAATATTAAATCTTTACAAACCAGTGTTAAATCTTGACTTTATGCTTGTGGAGGAAACTGGGTAATCTTCTGTCACTCTGGTGGGAGTGATCTGCTGCCACTCTATTTAAGTCATCCGCTACTATCATTAAAAATAAGCCCTGGCTATTTCCAGCCTAAACTAGAAAAATGTAGCAGTAGTGCCACAGGGAGTATGAATTCTGACAAATGGGAAGAAAAGGGACTGACGCAGATGCTGCTCTACTCGGTACCTTGCAGGAAGGCGGCTTGGTAGGCATCAGCCTGTCGTTTCTTACTGAATTTGCTGAGACCTGCAGACTCCTGTGAGGAAGACAACAAGTTCCCTTAAATATTTTCCTTCGCTGTCTTGCTCGTGCATATTTGGATGAAGTATCTTTTGTCATTCTTTAAATTTTCATCATCCTTTAAATGACTTCTGTAATCTTTTCAATAGCTGGTAGAGAGGAGTTGTTTGAGGGTTTTCATAGCAGATTTTTCTGTCCAAAAAAAAGTAAATGACACTTTTGTGGTTTATAGTAGGATTGTAGTCCTGCATTCACATTCATGTCAATGTTTTGGATCATCACTTGAAGCATAAGCCATATTTTCTATGTTAGTTATGATTATATTTGTGCAAAACAAGCAGATTAGCTTTTATAAGTGTGTTTTTCTTGAAAATAATGGTGTGGTTTTTTTAGTTAGCTTTTTGATGAATTTATAGAGGAAGAGCAGAGGCTCTTTCTCTCTATGGGGCTGTTTCACCAATAAAACTGCCTGTTGCTACAGACTTAATGTGAAAGTGGCAGAAGAGCGTGGTGCTGAGTTTGCGTTGGAGCAGGTCTCTCTGTTGCAATGACGGGTTCTGTTGCTGTATTTCCCCTTATCTCTCAGTTTTCCAAAACTCTGTTGCAGAATTGTACGTGTGTTGCTTCTTGTACGTGCCACATTGCCGTTGTCCTCTTAACAGTAGCAGTGGCGCTTACTCCTGAAAGTGTTTAAATCTGTGAAATGTTAAGTGACTAGTCATCCTTCGGAGAAGTAGGAGCTATCACAACTTTATATTTGGAAACTGGGACACAGAAATGGTGATATGCTGGAGCTATACCGGAAACCTCTGGCAGTGCCAGAGAGTACTAGTCACGGTTGTAATTCAAGACTAATCCTTTCCAATAGGTATATAACACATCACTCTGAACCAAATTTGGCGTATTGTTTCTATGTAAAGTCTTTGGAATTTGCTTCTTGGGACTTTATTTTTTTTCTTAAGTCACCTGTAAAGTGAAAAACTAGAGCAGCTGACTCCAGAAAAATGTGGGTTCTACTTTGGGGATTTTTTTATTTTTTTTATTTTTTAAGAAAGTTGGGGATGTAGCTTAGTACCTCTTGGCAAAGGAAAGCCCTACTGAAACTGAATGTAAGCAAAAAGAAGCAAAGTTGGAGATTGTAAGTATTGCACAGAAGGAATATTAGAAGCATAAAGCCCTTATATGTAGAAATTTTACAGAACGATGCTTGGGAACATTTATTAATTCTAAAATACTAGTTACACTCTGCTTTGTAAAAAGAAACTTAACGTGGTCTTTACCTTCTTGGTGCGAAATGGGTGAAAGTAGGGGAACAATTATGAACTAAATTTCTTAAAAGTTATTTTTTTAATCAACTCATGGAAATGATGAAGCTTAGTTTTGAGGTCACAAATATTTTTCAGAGTAAATATTTTCCTGTTATAGAATAGTTGCTCTTGATGGCTAAGCTGGGAAGGAAGGTCAGTTTGTCTTTCTGCCGCTGAGTGGGAAGCTTTAAAAAAAAAAAAAAAGAAAAAGCTCCACCCTTTCCTTGAATGAAATGCTTCAACTGTACTCCAAACATCACAGCCCATGTGCCTCTGCTTGTTTAGTTTCCAGTTATTCCAGTTTGGCTGTTGGTTTCAGCAAGGGCTGTAGCTTTCAGAAGGAGGCACTTTTGGAAGTGACGGAGGGAGACCTTTCGGCTCCCTTGCTGCGAAAGGAGGCGGCCTTCCTCCCTTGGTGCGGAGGTGAAGTAGGTCTGGTGGTGCTGTAAGCGGGCAAAGCTTGCTAAGGTTTGGGTCGTGTTTGCCCAAATTACTTCCACAGCACTTCACAGTCTGCTGAAGCAAACAGCTTTACTACAAACTTTGCTCTTCTGACCATAGTACCTAGGAGAAGCAAATACAAGAATGTGTGCCACCTCAGCTTTTTTATCTTTCTGAATTTAGTGGGTAAGTTACTTGCTCTGTGGTTGAAATGCTAAGTGGTGTATCATGTGTTCCTGATCTTATCTGTATTTTGAACTGCTCTGTTTAGCACGATTTGTTTGGGTTTTTGTTTTTTTGTGTTTTTTTTTTTTTTTTCTGAAGTGTTTTGGGCCAGGCGAAACTTTAGTCCTGTAGCTTGTGAAGGTTACTGCTTGTTTGTTCTCTGGAACAGTTCAAGTGATTAAAAGGAGTAACTCTGTATGGATGTATATTTTGAAACGACTGGAAATTGGAATATTAAAACTCGTGTGTTTCAACTTGTAAATTATTCTTAATATTAGTGAAGGGGTTTTTGCGCAAATTTTTCACCGGAGCATGTTAAATTTAATATTTGTCTTACACTTGCAAGCCTACTTATTTACTTTTCCTAATTGAATTACTGATATAATCTAAATGTTCCTGCTGTGTTAAAATACCTTATTTTTATCTTGAGTACTGATTTCTTGTTTCTCTGAAGATAATACTTTTTGAAGAGCTCTCTAATGCAAATAGCCGACAGTCTACTTTATGCTGATCTTTTCTCATCCTGATCTTCATGCTGTTCGTTTTTATAATTTTCATAAACTGCATGAAGAGCCTTTTCATAGTTCTTAGTCCCTGTGATAGGTTTTTAAAAAAATAGGATCTGATCTTCTGCCTCGATTAAATCAAATAATCCAGTAATAACCACATAACTACATTAAAATAGTAACATTTATGTCTTTCTGCTTATTCTATTGCTACAACTTATTTTAAGGGACAAAGTATCTTTTTTTTTTCCTCTAAGATTTTGGAAATGATTGGTCATTCTTAGAACTGGAAAATACATTTAGATGATAAATAAGCCTGGTTAACAAAACCTGCTGTATTTGTTAAATGGAAAAAAACCCCACCCTGAAAATTAAAAACGCTTTCTATTTGAAGGTTCTTTTACATTTCTTGTTTGCCTTTACATGGATAATACAAATCTAACTTAGCAGATTTTTCTGGAGGGTGCTAAACAACACACGGACCTAATAAGTGATGTTTCATGGCAGAAATAAGTCTATCACAGGGACCACCAATAATAACTGGGGAGTGCAGAGAAATGCACTCTAAATGGATTTATTGTGATGATCTGGAAAGAGCTGTTGCCCTTGCTTCTAAATAACAGCAGCAGTGAAATGAACTGGAATACTAACTTTGTTGAGCTGTTGCTTATCAAAACTGATACAATTCCATTTTACAAAACAGTCTGATTCCAGTGCAAAACTGAAATCTAGTTAACTGGGAAGTTCATCAAAATTAGCATGTGTAGGGAGGGGAAATCCGGGACTAAGTTTTCTTGGTCTGTCTCTTTTTGTGGGTGGGTTTTGAGGTTTTTTTTTTTTTTGAATGTATGGACTTCTACGTGTTGAAGTAGTGTTTTTCTCTCTGTGTTTGCTGGAGCTATTGTCTTACCAAAGAACAAGGTGTCTAAGTTACAGGGAACATAATTTTTTTTTCCTATTTTGTGTTGGCTTACATTTACTAAATTTTTATTAAGTGCAGAATTTGTGAAACTTAAAGGATGTATGTTAGGATCTTCCCAGGCAAAACAACTGTCTGGTCCAAATATGCATGTGTTTCCAGCATAATAGGTATGCCTGGCTTTCTTAAATGTCTGACAAAGTAATGGAAAGTTCTTGTTTTAATGGCTTGTATAGACTTGCAGCAAAATAACTTGTGTGCAACTGTTAATGGATGGGAGAGGGACTGAAGGTTTTCCCTTTTCTCATGACTTCGAGATGCCTTGACAAGTGCAGATTTATAGAAGCTCCTGAAGCCATTTTTAAATTCAGAAGAGACCAGGGAAGAGGGAAGGTATCTGTTACATACTTCAACTGAAAGTATACATTTAAGTTTAAGACACTGTCCAAACAAATAACTTGCGGAACATTTAAACAAATTAATGCTGAGCTGCTTTGATTCATCACAGCGATCTTGATACTACACAAAGCATCCTCCATCTGAAGGTTTTGTTTTCATTCCCTCTGTAATGGGGGAGGGAGGGAACTGTTTCTGCAGCTCAGTTATGCAGAATTTTAAAGGCATAATTGTCTTAAATGTGAAGTTTAAAATAAAAAAAATACAGATACTTTGCCTGATTCCAGCACTTGTCAGCCTCTTTAATTTTCCTGTCTACTTTAAAGCTATGCAAGATATATCCCCGCTGGGGGTAGCGGGGAAAATGAAACTGAGTTTCTGTGTTGTTTTTTTTTCTCTTTCCTTTCTGTTCTGAGTTTTAACATCAGATGCTAGGTACATACCGTGCTTTCTGTTTCATGAAGACTCATCAATAGCTTCCTCTCTTCCCACTTCAGGCTTCTGGAACTAAGATGGAATCCTTGAAAATCTTGATCAGAAAGTGCTTAGACTTTGCCCACTTCAGGCTCTGTGTCCTGCTGTCCCTTCTGTCCCTTCTTCAGCAGGGGACACAATATCACTTCTTTACAGTACTGATACTTATTTGGAAAAGCATAGTCATTGTAGCTGTTTACCTTCATAGCTGGTTTTGGTAGTCGTCGTCTTTTATAAAGATATTTTTGATACGGCTCTCGTAGTTCTAATAGTTGTTATTGCACATTCTTCTGTGTTTGTATGTGGAAGAACTGTTACAGGTTTTTGCTGGACATGAAGTGAAAATTACTGAGTTCATTAGCGTTCTTCCTCTGAACAGTTTTTGTTTGTTTGTTCTTTTTTTCCTAAAGGAACTTAGTGACTTAGCCCGTGATCCTCCAGCACAGTGTTCAGATGGAGATGACAGTAAGTAACCTTAGGTTTTATGTTTTGCTCTGCTAACTCAAAGCATATCATGCATAGATAATAATGCGGAGTTTTTCTTTTGTAGTGTTTCATTGGCAAGCCACAATTATGGGACCCGTAAGTATTCTAATTCTTGTGACGTAATATTAAACTAGTAGTTCTTATTCCAGAGGAAACTGTGGAGTTTTTTGTTTTTACTTTGCTTTAACTCCCCTTATCAGGCTTTAGTTCTAGAAGTACTCCTTACAGTAACAGAAGATGGAGGAGAGGGGGGGGGAGGAATCAGTCTGATTATTTTATTGCTGGACTGTTTTATGAGGACGTGTATTTCAACTGAAATGATCTCTAGAACAATGTTGAGCATTATCACTTAATATCTGGAAGACTTTGTGTTTAACTTTTTCTAAAGTTTGAATCTAGCATGAACTTTGTACTAGGAGCTGGTCCTAGTGTTGGGAATGAGTTGGGATGCTTTTGTGTGGATCTTGGAACAGAACAGGGGATCCTCACTTGGTCTGGTGGCATGTACTGAGATCTTGAATACTTTTAGGAATAGAAGGGAAAAGTCACTGAAATATGAGGTTCCGGTTATGACTGGAGGAAAAAAGTCTGAGTTAAATGTTCGATAAGCATCTGAAACCTGACTGTGACTTGTTAGAGTAAAGGCCGCAGATGTTTGCCTTTGCTGAAAGTGTAACCCGCAAATGCTTGACATCTGGGGTTCTCAGGGCTGGTTACCTATATTTAGAATACAAAACCTTCTGTAACGTGAGAAGACAAATATTGGATGCCAGTAGACCTGCAGCCACAATGTGATGCTTCTGGTGAGGCTACAGAGTAGGAATTAAGTATCAGTGACGCTGACTTCATGTATAGTGACAAGTGTGGGTTTTAGGGATTGCGATGGAAAATGTACTTATTAGAGGTTCACCTGACTGGAAAAATGGCTCTCTATTCCAAAGTCCCTGGTCCTCATTGATTGTAACTAGGTGCCTCAAGAAGATAAAATTGTTTAATAGCTATATTCTTGCTTAAATGGCAAGGAATGTTCTGCACTATACTGAGTATGATTTTACATGACTAGTGTCTGCATGACCTTAAGGTCTTAACATCAGTTGAATTTAAATTGGGATTATTATTTTTAGCTTCCCCTTCTGGTTTAATAATGTGCAGCTCCTTTTTTCCCCATGTGGTTTTTGTGGTGTCAAAAGGTGTGCATTCCTGTTTCAAGGCTGGGCAGTATCCTGACCGAAGCGTGATGTTAGTAGTTGTAGTGCTCCTGTGGTGTGCTTAGTGCCTTTAATAACAGGCGAGGATTGTAGAACCCATCGTCTGCCCATCCACCTCTGCAACAGCATATGATACAGGCTGTGATTTTCTTAGGTAGATGTAAGAGAGCTTGCATTGGCTTTAACACATTCTAAGAGGGGTTTCTGTAATTGCTAAAATGTATCCCCAGAATATGTGTAGTAAAAGGGTTGCTTTCTGGCTCCTCAAGGCCTCCCGTAGTATCTATTGACCACATACAAGAGGTTATACCTTGATTGCTAGGTTTTCAGCAGAGATTGGATAGGGTATAACCTACATGTTTTCAGATTTGAGTCCCTTATCTTGTGTTGCAGAATTTCATTTTCTAGTGTTAACTAAGTAAGATGTAGTTATTTCCTTACATTGGTGAAATGTTCTTGCAATTAATATGAAAATTCAATTTATAAATAATTCAGAAGTGTACTCTGTGTGTCTCAAATTTGTTTTCCCTAGCCCTGAATCCAGAATTAAAAGCATTGTAGCCTTCAGGTTAAACCATGAAATTGTGAGCTCTATTTCAGAAACTTAGCTGTAGTTTCAAGTAAAAACTTCTTATATCTTTCTTCTCTTAACTAATAACTTATGCAATCCCTATTTCATCACTCCATTTTTCTCATCATCTTTTTTACTTCCACATGTTGCTTTACTGCTAACAGTTAACGCCTGAATGAATTATCCCCATAATTGTTTCCTTGGAGCAGGGAAATGTAAAATACTCTTCCATACTAGATTACAGTGAATTTCTAATACAGAATGGGAGGAAGAATTCACTTTAATCTTGATGGGGTTTGTTTTGTGTTGTTTTTGTTTTGGAGTTGTTTGCAAGGGACAAGGAGTAAGCTGTGTGTTCGTAGGTTTTGTGCAGGGCTGAGCAACGCATAAGCCAAGGACAGAACTTAGGAGGGAATGGGAGGCCCTTAGAGCTGTCCGTGGCCACTGTAAACTTGGGTGGTCATAACAAGTAAGCTCCAAACACGGAACTTGACGTTTTTGAACCTGACAGGACCCCTGCTCTGTTAACATTACTTCTTGGAGCTGACTCAGAGGCGTTTGGTTGCTTTTGCCAAGGTGTCCTGAGTGGATTGTCAGAGAAGCTGTTTTCTATGAAGCGTTAGCTCGGAGAGGTCCATACAGAAAGTGACCTGTTCGTGTTCTGTATTGCTTACTTTAGGAAGTAGTAATTGAATTTTAATAGCATCTCTCTTGTATTGGTGGATTAAACAGTTCAGTTGTTTAAACAAATTTCCTCTCCTTTTATTTATTTAAAAACAACATCTTCAGTGATATTTAGTCCTAAAGATGATAATAGGAGAATTATTTGTTTGCTTTGACAGAATGACAGTCCATATCAGGGAGGTGTATTCTTCTTGACAATTCACTTTCCTACAGACTACCCTTTCAAACCACCTAAGGTAAGTATTGCTTTCTCATTTGTGAAATTAGTGCTCTTTAAAGAACCGAGCACACGACTGAAATCATAAGCATCTGTGTTGTAATATTGTCAAGTTCTCACTTCTCTCTCAAGTTCTCACGCATTCTTACAGTGTATTAGATGGCTAGGTCCCTTTCTGACTACCGCAAGAATGAGTGTGTTAGCACATATTTTAGAAGCAAATTAATATATGTGAATTCTGAATGTCTTGGAATTATGTTTGGTTTTATTTCTGTTATTCTTAATCAATAGGAAAACTCATTAGCTGTCACGTATTACAGTGTAGCTGTTTGGGTTGGTCTATAGGAATGTGACACTGGATAGAGGGATTAACTTGCTGAGTGCCTAAAATCAGTGAAGATGGTATCTGTTAGAATTTGGCAGTAATTGCAAAATATGTTTTATTTGTAACTTTATCAGCCACTAGCATTGTCTTCCAGTTTCCAGTCAGTATGAAAGTACACACTTGGAGTGATCACAATGTTTGAAGTTCTTTAGCTCTGCGATAGCAGTGTTACGGTGGTTCAGGCACTTCTGTTGAGTGTCTTCATCATGATGCAGGCACCTGTGATTAAAACACAGCCTCACGCTTGTCCTCTCTCTCTTTGAAATAACATGCCTAGTAATTGGAAACTGAAAGGTTGCAGCTTGAGTGCATTGCCATGAATTTGATGCAGTTTAACTGTTTCATCCTTTTCTTTTAGAGTAAATTGAGTTGGCTGATAGCTTGACTGAGAAGAAGGGGTGACATCATTGTCATTGTAGACCAAAACGCACTCTTCCTTTTTTTTTTTTTGTTACAGGTTGCATTTACAACAAGAATCTATCATCCAAATATTAACAGTAATGGCAGCATTTGTCTTGATATTCTAAGATCACAGTGGTCTCCTGCTTTAACTATTTCTAAAGGTAACTTCCATGAAGGAGAAAAGTTTTCATCTTGTATTGAATACTGTGCTTTTAGCTTTGATTGTCTTGAGTTCTTACCTGTCTCTGATTTCCCTTACTAATTCTGGCCTGTGTTTTGACAATTTGATAACAATACCTTACTGCGTTTTAATGGATATTTGTTTTTTCTAACACCTTCTGCTACATGGCTGTTTAAGGCCCTGTCTGGCCACCTACTTGCTTCAGTGTTCTTAGCAGAGGTTACTAACTTGGTCCCAGATGAATCCGCCAGCATTTGGATTGAAACAGGCCTGTTTGGTGTATTTGAGCTGAGAAACTGCTTGTTTGCAGCTGTCCATGTAGATACACACTTGCGTATTAATTTAAAGGTGGTTTTTAATAATGAAATCTGCATGTTTTTTTCACTGAGTCTGTCTAGAATTACATGCAGTTTTATGTTGGCGTATATCTGTGCTGGATGAATAAAAGAAAACTGTTACTGATACATGTTGCTTTTTGCCACTGTGCGTTGGCATTGTATTACGTTATTTCATGAACTAAGCTTACTGATTCTACTTCAGGATAAATTGATGATGTGCTGCAATAGAAGCTTTGTAGCTTTCCTCATTGTACTATAATAAATAACAGTTAATTCTTAAATATTTTCACAAAGTGCTCCTTTGTCTATAGAGCTTGTAAGTCCTGCCTGTCCAAGGAGTAGGTTTGTGATTTGAATGTGGATTCCCTACATTTTAATGCTATCACTGTTATTTTTCTTTCAAAGCTGCTGAGAGAGGATGAAGTCTTCATAGCTGCCTACAACAATGTTATCCTTTATTTTATAACATATATCTAGTTTTATCAGTGCAGTCCAGGGTATTGCTACCTTATATACAACAGAGAAAGAATTCAGTCTGATTTAAAAAAAATAATAATAATCAACAAAATAACATGCTTTTGTTGTCTACTACGTTGCATCATAGTGCAGGGGACAACAGTGCTGTTCTCCTGTGTGCTTACTGACAGCTGTAAGTATTGGGAAATAGGAAATAAATAGTTCTTATGATCAGTGCAGACCAGGGTATTGCTACCTTATATTACAACAGAGAAAGAGTTCAGTCTGATTTTAAAAAAATAATCAACAAAATAACGTGCTTTTGTTGTCTACTACGTTGCATCATAGTGCAAGGGACAACAGTGCTGTTCTCGTGTGTGCTTACTGACAGCTGTAAGTATTGGGAAATAGGAAATAAATAGTTCTTATGAACTTCTAAGTCATTGTAGGCTTTTTATCTGGAGTGGGTTACAAATTTATTTTGGCTGTCTATCAGGAAGAGGCTTTTTAGGTTCTCTCCTGTGCCAACATTGTGCTAATGCAAAGATCTGTGCTCCATGGTTTCTGAGATTGTTGTTCCTGTTTTGCTATTGAGAATTCTTCTTTTTTCTTTTACAGTTCTCTTATCCATTTGTTCACTGTTATGTGATCCAAATCCAGATGACCCACTAGTGCCAGAGATTGCACGTATCTATAAAACAGACAGAGACAAGTAAGTACAGAGTTGTGTAAGACTAATATTCTAACAAACTTTGTAAGAGTGCATTGTCAGACAGCGATTGTGTTGAGTGAGCCTTTTGTGAAAATCTGGGATGGAGAGAACTTGTGTGTCAAAGAAGTACCTATTCTTGGTAGTGCATAATTTAAAACCAAAGAGGCTTATATCTTTGAAGTTGTGGGTGAAGGAGACTATCTTTTTCTCGCATGTGTGGCAGTATTTTGAAGTATGTGTTGCCCAGTTTTTTGCTTACCATGCATAAATAGAATATAGTTAGATCTTCATATTGAGGAAAAAATAGCTTTGTTGTTTCGGTGCTTGCTTTTGGTAGCAGCTTGGCCTTTAATTTTGGTGCTCCCCTTGAAAAAGGCTTCGTAACTTTTTTCCTATCTGTGTTGAAACAGCTTTTATGTGGTTTTAACATTTTGCACAGATAGAATTATATGAAGTAGACTTTGGTTTTTGTATATATATTAATGCTAAATATACTTGTCCAATTAGGTACAATAGGTTAGCAAGAGAGTGGACAGAGAAATACGCTATGCTGTAGGGTAAGAATATCTGCACATTAATGGTGCATTTAACAAAATGGAAACTTGTCAGCACTTGGGTGCTGCATGCTCTAAGGCACTGGATTAACTAACAGATAATGGATGCACCAGTTACTGAACTTGGATATTTAACAGCTTGATCTGTGGTTAGTGTGAAATGTATTGGCTAGTCACTATTTCTCACAGATACTGCTCTTGCATGGCAAAAAAAAAAAAAATATAGTATGAAATAATTACTGAGTTTTGAGCCAGCTTGTCAACTTGTTCGGTAAGTATTTACCCATATTTTGTCAGAACTTTTCTAAAATTGATGCCCTGTAGCGAGACCTCATGCATAGACATGGGTGAATTTAGACAATCCAAATTTCAACTTTTTATTATTCAGCAGTGTCTGTCTTCTGCATATAAACTAGGAGAACGTATGGGGACTATGTTCTGCTTATATAGTTGAAAATTAACTTCTTACTGACAAGCATGGAGTTAAGTATAAACTAATTGTCAGCTCAGTTCCTGTGGAAGTAGTGTACTTAAATATTCTTTTAATGACCTTTTTAAAAATGGTTTGAGCAGTATATTCACCTGGAAAGAGACTGTTAAGTGTGAATAAATGCTTAGGGTTGTTTTAATCTAAAATGGGAAATGTGACATTTTGTATCCAATGATATTATTAACCGAGTAATCTTTACTTATGGCATGTGATACTCTGTAATCTTTACCTAAGGACAATATTTAAACAAAACACTCCCCTTGCCTCTCCCACCCCAGGTGGTCTCTATTTCTTCCCCTTCAGCAGTTTTTCACAACAGACTTCTAGCAAATCTGCTTGTCTTGAATTTGAAGTGTTTCATATAAATTAGAGACTATCCTAGTTAGTCGAGGGAAGAATTTGTTCCATTTATTCAGTTTAAGTATATCTGAGTGCACAAAGAGACTTCTCTTAGTGTGAAGAGAATAGGGAGATGGGGATAAAGTGATACTTAATCATTAGCTGTTTAGGAAATTGTCGTTTTCCTGCTGACGCTAATTCAATTCCTGTTTTTGTTTGCAGGTACAACAGAATATCTCGGGAATGGACTCAGAAGTATGCCATGTGATGCTACCTTAAAGTCAGAATAACCTGCATTATAGCTGGAATAAACTTTAAATTACTGTTCCTTTTTTGATTTTCTTATCCGGCTGCTCCCCTATCAGACCTCATCTTTTTTATTTTTTTGTTTACCTCCTTCCATTCATGCACATGCTCATCTGAGAAGACTTTAGTTCTTCCAGCTTTGGACAATAACTGCTTTTAGAATCTGTAAAGTAGTTACACAAGAACAATTGCCCAAGATTCAGAATTTTTTTTTAATGGAGCATGTGTATTATGTGGCCAATGTCTTCATTCTAACTTGGTTATGAGATTAAAAACAAACATTCCTCACTGCTCTAACCGATACTGAAGATATCACCTGAAGGGGGGAGGGGAGATGGATGTTCAGTTTTCTCCCATCAAAGAAGTAACATTGCTGTAGCAACATCCATCTTGTTCCAAACCTTCCAATGTTAGAGAACTGAGGTTTTATTATATTCTTTTGCTCATAACTGATGTGTCTGGAGAATTGGTACTGAATCTATAGCATCAGCAGAACAGAAAATGTGATGTATCTTATGCATGTCAATAAAGGAATGACCAGTTCTTGTTTTACAGAGAATGGAAATTGGAAGTCAAACATCCCTTGTATTCCAAAATAGGGTCTAAGAACATTTTTGTAATTCATTTAAATTTTGTTAGGAGGCTTGGAGCTATTAGTTAATCTGTCTTCCAAAACACTGTTTAATATAGCACTGAATAAATGATGCAAGTTGTCAATGGATGAGTGATCAACTAATAGCTCTACTAGTAATTGATTTATTTTCTTCAATAAAGTTGCATAAACCAATGAGTTAGCTGCCTGGATTAATCAATATGGGAAACAAAATCTTTTGTAAAAGCAAAGCTGGTTTTTGTATATACTGTTGGGATTTGCCTCATTGTTTAACATCAAATAATGATGTAAATTCAATAGAGTGAATCTTTTGCCATTTTCAGTTATAATGCTCAGTCTGTTGCAGGTTGACACATTGTTCGGCCTGACGTATGCAGAATTAATAAGCTAACATAGTAGTGTAGCCTTAGTAGCGTGCTACACTTGGTGCTGGGAGCCCAGCGTTCAAGGATGGACTTGGGACCCGGCAGATCTGAAGCGGTGTGTTGTGGAGATACTTCCTGATGCACCTGTGTTTGCTGACTGAGAACCTTTTTCTTTACCTTGTACACTTGACAGCTGAAAGATCTTAATGTGGGAGTAATGATGAGGCAAAAAAAATATAAAATAAAGTACTGTTTTGATGTGGGAATTGTCATGAGGCTGTGTTGAAGTGACTTTACTATGTGGGATGTTCGTTACCATTGAAAAGGACTTGTTCAGCCATGCTGCCATTTACATTGATGACTATTTTAATGCAACAGACACTTTCCTCATGTCAGGTGACTAAACGTGAATAAAGACTCATTGCTATTGGATTTTTGTTCTACAAGAAACATTGTCTTGTGCCATTAGTTTATCTTTGCAGCTACAAGGGCATTATTAAACATCCGGCTCTCCTCTTTCCTTCCCTCTTCCTTCATGTTTTTCCTTGTTTGGTTGGTTTTTTTGGGTCTCCATTCTTCACATCCATAGCTTCATTTTCTCTAGTCTTGTACTATCACTTTATTGTGCATCTGTGACTTCGCACTGGCACCACTTTTGCACTGCTTATAGTTATGTACATTCCGATTCCTTGTCCCCACATGGATGTGGAAAGCTAGATGTAAAATAAATGTTAAACCTTAATTTTTATAAAAATTTGAATATGTAGTTTGGACATGGTTTGTTCTGGTTCTAACTATGAAAGTGAACTTATTTTAAAGTCTAGTTGGCTTGAAATTTAGAAACCTGGGCTCTCTTTAACTGCGCATGCCTCACGGAGATGACGTTCTGAAATTTGTTAGTTGCAGTTCGTGCAGCATTTCTGCTTTGCTAACCAAAGATTTTTGCTTACATCATTTTGCTGGAAAGTGGGATATACTTAAAATACAGCTGCCAGTAGCATTACAACTGAGGTAAAAGGTTATGTTTCTAAGCTTACAAACGTGTTGCTCTTACCTTTTTGGTAATTGTGTTAATTTGATGCTTATTACTTTGTCTTGGAGTCATAGCCACTGAAATCACTTACGTGATCAACTGGAAAGATGTTTTGTGAGATGTAAGGCACTAGGCTTTGTGAAACTCCGGGAAGTGTGAAGGAGGGAGGGTCAGGGAAGGAGAAGATAGTAAAATACTACATGGAAGGTGGAAATCTTGTTTGGACCACTATATGTTTCTCTTGTACATCCGTAATAGTCCTTCTGTGTTAATTTTCTGTAATTAGGAAGTATGTATTTGATGAAAGAATGATGAGTGAATTGTAGATGTTATCTATGCATGCCGGAGGTCATGCTGAGACTTAAAATCTTGTCTTTGTGAAGTGGGAGATGGCAGGTGTGTTGTCCTTGAAGCAGTCTGGGTAGTGTCTCGTGCAGGCTTCCTGCGGAAGTTCTATTTGGGCTTGCTCTTCAAGCAGGGAGGCAAGAGGAGGAGCTGGTTAACATGAGCTAATGAGGAGATGATGAAAGAATTTAAGAACTTTTACCAAAACAAAATGCTTAATTAGCGATTACCTCGAAGTGTAATCTACCTACCAAACCCACAGATAGTCTAAAAAGTACGTAGTAGATCTTGGTTATTGTGAAACATACGGAGGGAAAAAAAGACTTTCAATTTGAACTTCTTGTGAAAAATTCAGTGTTTTTCAAAACCTTAAGTGAGTTGTCCTGTCCAGCTCTGTTAAAAGACTTAGTTCAGGATGATAAATGCAGTAATGGCTTCAGAATACAGGGGCCAGCTACATCCTAGAAGTCTTGAATTTAACAATTTTTATTTTTTTTAATGGCTTTTCTTTGAGAGTATTTATAGAGAACAAAGTGTCAAGTCAAGGCACTTAGATTTAACAAACATGCAACAAGGCAAGAAACTTCAGTGGTGTTTCTGGAATAATTTTTTTTAAGATTTCTTGCTGTGTTTAAATGGGGTTTGAATTTGACAACATGATTCTAGTCAGCTTACTCAGATTTCACTTGAAAAACTTTCAGTGGTTTTAAGCACATTTTTGAGTCTTTTCAGGATGTAGGAAAAACTTGATCTGTAGCATTGGTTAGGGATGTTTTTGTTTTCTTTCCGTATCTGCTGATGCACACAGCATCTTCAGTATTGGTTGAAAAAGTGTAAACATGTTTTTGCGCATGTGCATGTAAAAACATTCTTCTCAGTTGCACTGTACATCATTTTTATTGCAAAGGTTGTAGATGCTGACTCCTGAAAGGTCTGGCTTTAAGCAGACCACAACAGTTAAGGTCTGATGGTTGTGGAAGCATGGAACTACAGTCTGGCAAATGATTAGAAGACAACTAGTTAGTATATAGGTGTGCAGATGTACTATACCAGTCCTGTTAGATTGGGTAATTGCTTATGCGAAAAGGAATTAGCATTAATTAACAGATAACATAATGCTTTAAATATTCACAGCCAGAAATGTTCTAAATAACTTTTTTTTATCATATTCTTTTCTGTAGCTTCCCTCAAATTGTTCTCTTTAGCCATTTTATTTCAAATCCTTCATTGTTATAAAAAATGGTATTTTCCAGGCATTATGATCTGAAGCAGGTACCATAGCTCCATCAGATGTGGCTAATCAGTCAGAAGAAATCCTCAGTCTGCAAGTCCCTAATAAAACTTAAAGCATAGTAGAAACTGGAATTCAGCTGAAGATTTCTTGCTGTGTTTGTAGGTGTCAAAAAAAATAAATGTAACTTCACTTTCTTTCCCTGATTTGTGTGTAGTTCTAATACATGAAAACTAGGTTAGGACAACTGTCCCCGTTAGAGAGTTAAATGAAACAAATTGGCAGTAGAACAATGGAATGAGATAAATAATCCATGATCCTTAAAGGATCTTAAGGTATAAAGGTTATCTCACTAGAACACAGACTACACTAATTCCTTCAAGCCTGAAAATCGAAAAACTGCTACTCATGGGAACAATTTGCTTTATGGCATTCAGTTCTCGGTGTCATTGAATGGATTGTCATTGAATGGTCATTGAATGGATGCTACTTTACCCCAGTGCCTTCAACATAAATATAAAATGGGGATAAATTGGAGAACTGTTGGATTTGGATAGGATTCTCAGTAGGCAATTGTGGCATATTTAAAAGGTAGTTGGTATTCTGGCTAAAATATTTTCAGTCTAAGGCTGAGGGCTTATGTATTGGCAACAGTGCAGGACCAATGCAAAAAGCGTGGTAACGCAGGAAACAAAACGGGGTAATTGTATGATGTAAAGGGGAGGTACGGAAGGTAACAACCGGCTGCCCGAAATGCATTGTTGTCAGTTCATGCGGTCTAGTGTAAAACCAGCTGGCTTCAAAATAATCTGGAGTAAGATAGCCGATAAATTGTAATTTGAAGTGTCCAGGTTAGCCTGTCAAAGAACGGTAGTTCAGACATAGCCTTAGGAAGAGCAATTCAGAGTGTAGACAGATGAGCGTTTGCAGGTGCACGTACAACAGTTTGTAAGTCAATGTTTGTGATTGTGTAGCCAGTGCCCATAAATTGACTTGCCATTCTCCTTAGCTAATGCTGCAGTAACTTTTGGTCTGCTATGTCATTTAGAGGCAAGCACTCAGTCTTCTGCAGGGGTAGTTCAAAGCTGTCAGGTTTTTTTTGCGCTGCGGTGAGGTGACATGTAGTTTGTTTAATGTGAATCAGTTGTGGGGGAAAGATTTTCTCAGCTTCCAGGTGAGCCGCAGTAACTGCCGTAACTATTTCTAGAGCAGCTGTCTGTCTCGGTTAGGTTGGAAGAGGTGACAAGCATAATCTGTACAGTGATCGGTGCCAGAAATGAAATGGTGAATTTGATAGGACAGCTCTGCATAAAGTAATAATTGAGAAATTTTTTTTAAGGATGTCTGGTTAACATCCCTGTTTGCCAAAAATAGCTTTTTTTTTTTTTGCATGTCCATTGGAAATGTTGGTGAGAATTCAGTATCTTCTTCAAACAGTGAAGGTTTTTAGTTCATGAGGGGAGGAAACTTCATCAGGAGACATACAATGTTGATCAGAACATGTTTTTCAACAGCCTTTAACTGATCTTTGCTCTGGGGTTGTACCTGATTGACACTGGGAGGGTGGGCTGCTCTCTTTAAATGACTGCTATCAGGATTGGTTCCCCTTCAGGAGCTTCATGCAGAAATACTCGAGCTCTGTACTTAAGAATCCTAGGCTTTGCAGATCATCTAGGTAATTCTGGCTTTTGCCTCAACTTCATTCATCTTATTAACTGTATGTTGTCCCATTGCAGATTTAATGTGCAGATTATGATCAGTTGCTTAGAAGATGGTGATACTTTGTCCCCGTGGGAGGAATGCTAGCTGGAGAGCTGGGCGGCTGCTTTAGCTCCTGCTGCTTTGGCATACTAAGGTTGCGGGGACAGAATTTGGAAATGCCTTTACATTTATCTGGGATGGGAGTTTTGACTCGAGTTTTTAGTCTCTTAGATGTGATGTCATGAGTCAATAGAGGGAATGTACAAATGAAGCTGTTCCCTGTGTTCTTGAAGAGCTGCCTAACTGGTGGTGGTCTTACCTTAGAAAACATTGATAGGCACTGAATAATGGTAGTTTCATCTATGCTGAGGAAGGGAAGCCTATGCTTGTTTCTAAGTCAAGGCTGGATTTTTTCCCCCTCTGGCCAGGTAAGCCTCAGCACTTTGTATCTCATGGTATTTGCTGCAAGTCTAAAAAGAAACTGTGTTCATGTAGTCATGAGTCCTGGTTTTTTGTGGGTTTTTTAAAGGGAATTTTCTGGAACGCAACTTTTTACTGAACATGCAACTCACATCCTCTTGGCATCTAAGCGAGGAACTGCAGTTTGCAACTTTATGTACAGAGCTCAGCGTGGGTCTATAACCCCTTCTTCCTGACAAATTTGTGAAGGTAAATAACAAAGACGTGCCATAGATCGGGCAAAGACCCCTGTTCAGTATGAAGCTATTAATGCTTTGCGGAAGGATGCTCTTGCTAAAACAAGGTTTACAGATTCTTTGCCATGGTATTAATCCTGCTGTGACAGTGAATGCAGAAAACTTAAAAAACTCAGAGATATCTTAGAAATTGACGGAGCTATTCTATATAACCATTATTTTATTCTTTTTCTATTGCGAGGTTTGGAATGCTTTTATTGGAGTCAGAGGTCCAGATCCCTTCATAAGGTACTAGATTTTGTGTTTGTACTCAGAAGAGCACTGGGGAAAGTATCACCGTTAGCAGCCGTAGGAGTTCTTGGGTAATGCGTAGTGGTGAACAAGACAACTTCTGGAAATGGCGCTGATGTATCCTTTTATAGAATGGATTAGTGCTTGCTAGAGAATTGAATTGAGTATTTGGGACTGAGTGTTGTTCAGTCTCCATGTCTGTGAGAAGTCTTGCACTTCTTAAGCATATCTGTCCGGTCTAATTGACATACGTGCCTTGACAAACTCAGAAGTACAAATTTTACCATTTTTTGTTTGTATGTTTTGTTCAGCTTTTCTATGCCTTTGTTCTTCCACCCCTCCTTTTCTTCAGTTTTTCTCCTTACTGTGAAGCTCAGTGAGGATTTCATTCCTTAAAATTTCAGGAGACTTCTATTAGAACTCACAGTGCTGACCTGAGAGGTTTGGGATATTTTTATTTTTTTTTTTATTTTTTTTGGAAAGGCCAGAGGACAAAC